CAGAAAACCCTGCTGGGCTGGGTCGTTTCTGGACGCTATCGTGCGAGCTGTAATGCTCCAAACACCAAATGCTTGCTTGCCTGTAAGGACTCTATAGATTCAAGGTTGGAAAAATTATTCCAGATTGAAGAAGTTGCAACAAAGTCGGACGTGTGGACTCGTGAGCAATATAGCTGCGAAAAACTATATAATGACACCGCTACTCGTAGCGCTAATGGCCGGATTGTAGTTAAAATTCCATTCAAGGACGATCCGGCCTGCTTAGGTGAATCATACACTACAGCCTTGCGAAGATTTAATGCGCTAGAACGTCGGTTACAACGGTCCCCTATCCTCAGGACACAGTACGTCGCATTCATGGATGAGTATGAGAATCTAGGCCATATGCAAGCAGTGCCCAACCCGAAATTGAACGAACCTCACTACTTTATTCCCCACCACTGCGTTTTGAAGCCGAATAGCACAACCACGAAGCTAAGAGTTGTCTTCGACGCATCTTGTCGAACAACTACGCAGAAATCGATAAACGACATCCAAATAGTAGGACCTACTATCCAAAGCAAGCTTGTAACTCTGTTGCTTCGTTTTCGCTTACATCGCTTCGCTCTTACAGCAGACATCGTGAAAATGTATAGGCAGGTGCTAGTCAGTGAGGAACATCGCAAATTCCAGTATATTTTGTGGAGGAGTTCGCCTCATCAAGATATTAAAACATTTCAGCTCAACACAGTCACGTACGGAATGGCAGCCGCACCATACCTCGCAGTACGCAGTCTACATTACCTAGCCGATCAATATGTGTCGCAATTCGTCGTTGGGTCAACTGTCGTCAAGTCATCGTTCTACGTCGACGATTTGCTGTGTGGTGCTGACTCGCTTGCAGAGCTATCACGGATTAAACATGAGATAACAGAATTACTAAAATTAGGTGGACTAGAGCTGGCAAAATGGCACTCTAACCACCAGCGTTTCAGAGGCGAACACACTGACAAGGATTTGAATCTCGACAACTCTGTCACCAGTGCTCTTGGTCTTAAATGGGATCAGATTCATGACAATTTTCTATTTTATTTCCTACCAAAGCAGCCACTAAACGGCCGTGTTACAAAAAGGACAATACTATCCATCGCATCATCGCTCTTCGACCCACTTGGCCTCCTAGCGCCAGTGACCGTCACCGCTAAAATTTTGCTTCAGGAGCTGTGGTTGCTGAAACTCGAATGGGACGAATCGGTTCCCCAAACCATCCAGTCGGCTTGGCAAACCTTTGTCAACAACCTTTCGGATCTCGCCGCAGTTAAAGTTCCAAGGTACTGTTTATCTGCTAACATGCAGTCGTTGCAAATACATGGATTTTGTGATTCATCGATTCGTGCTTATGGCTGCGGAATATATATACGCATCGTAGACAATACTGGTAATGTTCGCGTTCGCCTTCTCACGGCAAAATCGCGTGTGGCCCCAACCAAACGACAGTCGCTACCAAAGCTGGAGCTTTGCGGTGCACTACTACTTGCCCGACTCCTTACAAAAATTACACCCATGTTTTCTAATTATAATTTCGATACCTTTCTTTGGACAGATTCGCAAATCGTCCTTCACTGGCTCCAACTGCATTCGGTTACGCTGTCAGCTTTCGTTGGCAACAGAGTGTCGGAAATACAGGATTCGACTAGGGACGCTCATTGGAGACATGTACCGACGAAATGCAATCCAGCCGATATTGTGTCCAGAGGAAGCACAGCGCTTGAACTTGGTGGCTCGATTTGGCTAACTGGTCCAGCGTTCTTGTACGAAAATATAAACAACTGGCCTAACCAATCAAATGACGAGGTGG